CAGGGTGCGGAAAGGGGCCGCCGGTCTCTCTGACCCGCCTCCCTCCCCGGAAACCTCCTTCTCAAAAAAGCCGGTCGGGGAAGTCAGGCAGAAACCGAGTCCTGCCCCACGACAGCGCTGCCAGGAGGAAACGTCGTTGCCAAGGAAGCGGAGGAGCCGGGCTGACAGTTCCCAGCTACGGTCACTAAGAGGTGTGGCACTCGCATCCGGGCTGTTAGGAACCGCGCTGGTTAAAGCGCCGAAGAACCCCTCCGCCCCGCCCCCCCCTCCCAGCAGGCCCTTTAAACACATACACCTCCTTACGGTGCACAAACAAGTCAGCCTTTATAAAGCATTTCCCCAGGGAATGTAAACTTTATTTTTCCAAGTCTTAGCTTTAACCACGGCCGGAATTTAGCGTTCCATCCACCTCACAGACTAACTGCCCGCACAGGTAGTGGCGTGTGGTTTGCTCTGCTGCAGGCACGGAGCTCGGTGAGGGAGTGTATCAGCCCTTTTCCGGACAGCAGTGGGTGGCTCTTAAAAGAGCCGTTTGGTTTAAGCATTTCCACTTTCAACACTTCACTTCTTGGGCGCCGCCTTCTTCGCCTTGGCCGCTTTGGGCTTCCCTGCCTTGGGCTTGGCTGCTTTGGGCTTCACCGCCTTCGCCCTGGCCGGGCTCTTCGCGGCTGCCGCTGCCTTTTTGGGCTTGGCCGCCTTAGTCGCCTTTTTGGGACTCTTGGTGGCTTTCTTGGCCGCGGCAGCTGCCGGCTTCTTGGCTTTCTTGGGGCTCTTCTTCACCGCCGCCGCCTTCTTGGGCTTCTTAGCAGCGCTGGCGGGCTTCTTGGCCGCCGGCTTCTTCGGCTTGGCCGCGGCTGCCCGCTTCTTGGGGGCTTTTTCCTTCACCTCCCCAGGCTTCTTGTTAAGGCGGAAAGACCCGGAGGCGCCGGTGCCCTTGGTCTGCACCAGGGTGCCCTTGCTGACGAGGCTCTTCAGCCCCAGCTTGATGCGGCCGTCTGTGTTCTTCCCCTCGCAGC